ACAACACAAGCGGCCTTCATCAGGTGAAGGGACCAGACTGTCTCGAAGACAGCGCTGGAGTGAAATCTAGAATCTTAGCAGCGTTCATTGAAGCGCTGTCGTCCCGAGAGTTCTGTTCCTTCACCTGAAGAAGGCTACTTGTGTTGTGGCCGAAACGTCGTGAGAATTTTATTGTCTTATTTTGTTTCATTGTTTTATTCTCATTCTACTTGGTGACTTTACCGAAAGAACCAAGAAGATGTACGAACAAACTTTGCAGTGGAGGGGGGAGGGAGGGCACGCGTTGCGTCACACCATCACCTTCGCCATCACCGACAGGCAGCCGTGTCCGCTGCCGTCATCGTCAGCGCCGTCGCATCCGCGATCGCCGTCGTCATTATCGGCCCCGTCTCGCCATCATCACCCCACCGCTTCCCTCCGCCGCCCGTGGACTCGCATCGATCGTCCTCTTGTGATTGCCAACAAGAGGTTTTGCCACCAAGTACCAAGTCATGTTTTGCAGAGGGGGTCAAATACTTATTTCCCTCATTAAAATGCAAATCAATTTATAACATTTTTGGCATGCGTCGGTCTGGATTTTTGTTGTTGTTATTCTCTCACTGTTCAAATAAACCTACCATTAAAATTATAGACTGATCATTTCTTTGTCAGTGGGCAAACGTACAAAATCGGCAGGGGATAAAATACGTTTTTTCCCTCACTGTATTATTTGTATTTACTTTATTATTATTTTTCTATCTACGTGACTTTACCGAACGAACCAAAGAAAATGAATTCCTGCAGTCACGAAAGTTTTAAGTCAAAATTTTGCAGCAGTGTTGTCCAGGAGCGAGATAGTCAGCGTCGAGGTATGCTGCTGATGCTGCTGCTGCTGATGCTGCTGCTGATGCTGCTGCTGATGCTGCTGCTGATGCTGCTGCTGATGCTGCTGCTGATGCTGCTGCTGATGCTGCTGCTGATGCTGCTGCTGGCCTATGACGAGAGGGCTTCGGCAGAGAGGTCGCGTCGTGTCGCTGCTCCTCCGTTGAAGGAGCGGGGATGACTACTAAAAGGGTTCACTGTGCGGTCCATAGTTTGGGTTGCATGACCCCAATCACACGACTGCGCCTTGACCTTAACGTATCTCTATGGGTCTCTATGAGTGTCGATGCATCTCTGTGTCTAGCCTGTGTCTCTCCGAGCTTCGATGTCACTATTCCAGAGTCCGGCAGGGGAATCTATCCGTAGGGCGACCACTAATCTTTCACACAAAGTTGTACCTATTCTATCAACCCCCGGAGGGAATGATGATGGGCTGAGTCAACCTCTCCCCCTCCTCCCCCCGGCACAACCTAATCAGGATTTTAACTTACAATCTTCCGATTGCTGCGAGTTGCTCGCTCCACCAACGGGCCGGATTAAATACAAACTGCGTAGAATGAATAGCTTTAATCTAATTGTTTATCGACTGCATTGAGCGGGGTGTGGCATCATGGAGCGAGCGGGGGGGGGGAAGCTGTTGCGCAGATTGACTTTTTATGTTGAGACGAGTCCAGCGGAACGTCCAGAGATGTACTCCGCGCGCGTACTCCCGGAAGTGGCCGAGCCGAATCACGGCGGATTCATCCGTTCAACGGATTCCCCCCCGTCCAGAGGGGCACTCGGGGAAGTGACCTCTCAGAGGTTGCCTCTCGAGTTCACGCACGGGGAATTGGCCGAACGCAATCACGGGGGATTCATCCGTTCACCGGATCCCCCGAATAGCCGTAAACAACACAAGCCGATGTCGTTGCAGATGTGAATGTAACTTAGCTTTGCTATGAATGGAATTGTTTTTTTGATCACATCTGCGCACCGCATTCGAAAACGCGGTTGATTTTATTCCGATTTCTGCATATCCCCCTAAAATTCAGACGGAAACCCCATAGACACCCATAGTCACCAGAGGCCCACAGGTTCGCACAGAGATCCATACTGACGTAGAAAAAAACCCCCATAGATTCAAAGAGACCCGTAAATTCACAGGGAGGCATTCTTCCAGACACGCCGGACAAACCGATTGTTTAATTGCCAAGATCTGAAATATCTTGCCAAGAGCTGGAATATCCTGCCAAGAGCTGGATTATATTGTCAGAGCTGCACTAAATGCAGAACCGAATGTTAACATGACCAGGGGTTTTGGTTGTTATTCTAGTCATTGTTGACTGTAGAAGAACAATCACAACTCGGTCCACGTGCGCGAGTTTCTATGCATGACGATGGGTCTCTATGCAAGTACATGGTGAGCGGGCCGAGACCAATAGTTGACGACTCTTCCAAACCCAGTTTAACCACAGGCATCTGGAAACCAGGGTTTAAACCCAGGCCCTCAGCGGTGCCGGCTCCACGTCTCAAACCCCCTGAGCCACCCGGCCTTCTCACAATGCAGCAAAGCTTCCATCACAGCCGCTGTTGGCGACGATGGAATTGGCCGAGTATCCCAGTGTAGGACGACAGAGCTTGGGCAATTGTCTGCGGCTTCTTGCCCCTCCCGAGTCGCCCTCAGAAAGGGGGGCGAGAGAAAATTGCGTGGCTTTATAAAACTGCATAAATGCAATTTCCATGCTTGCGTGCAAGCTGCCAATGAACGTGCACACACCATGAGAAAAAACCCCAAGTACTTAAAGAAAACTACTCATTGTTTTTTTCGGTAAAGTCACGTATGTAGAAATACAATAAAATAATGTTAAATTATATTTTAATATAATTTTTAATATAATTTTATTGTATATCTACATACGTGACTTTACCGAAAAAAACCAATGAGTAATTTATGCAGTCACGAAAGCTTTAATTCTTTAAAAAAAAACTTGAACAGGCAGCCACGTGTGATTAACCAAGTGCATTGAGTTAATGGTCTCAGCCCGGTCACCAACGACTGCACCGCATAGCCCTCAAATTACATTTGGTTCCGCGCTTATCTCGATCACAGCTGAGAATCAGAACAGTGCCTCGACCGTCACGTGGCCCAACGTCGCCTCTCCCGTCGCAGAGTGAGCGGGAAAGCGCTGCCCTCTTCTCTGTGTGTGCGTGGCTCAGAGAGGTCGCTCGTTGAAGGGACCTCAAAGGTAGCTTTGCGATATCCGCTTCTGTGGGGGAGGGGGGAGGGCGGGGTTGGCGCTGCTCTGCGAGAGATCTGAACGGATTCCTCGTTCCCCCCCACCCACCCACCACCCCACGAGGATGCAGACGGAGACAAAAAAACCGACGGAGAAGCTCCAACAACAAAAACGCGTTCCGATTAAAGTACGAACGGGGTCCGTTTTAATGAAATGGCAGAAGCCTAAAAACTTACAAACCGCAGCAAGTATCCGGAACAGCAAATAGATACGGACAAGTGTCCCAAGCGTGAACGTAAAACAACAAAGCCACTTCCAAAACGAGCCCAGGTTTTAGTGTAGATATTTGACTATGTACATAACGTGCGTCAACGGGGAGTGGCGGAGGTCAGCGGCGAAGCGGACCCAAGTTTGATTCACGACCGTGGCCAACATCAGCGGCAGATGATATCGGTCCTGGGCCTCACCTACATCGACTCGGCCTTAAAACGAGTTACCTGGTGCGTGGCCAGGCGTGCAGATCGTCACGCCAGCCACCCCCCCCCGCCTCCCCCACATAGGTGCACCCGTACCATCCTGGACAGGCGGACGGGTCGTTGCACACTGTCCCACAACGCCGGTGACACAGGTTCAATTCCACACCATGTCCGTCACCGTTTCGCCAATTAGCGTCCGAACCTGGCATGGATCACACCCCCCTCCGCCAAGGTCAACTCGACCTCAAGCGAGTACCGGAAATGTCGCGGTGGTGGAAGTCGGCACCGGCTCGGCCATCGCCGGCACAAGCAACGAGCGTTCGCCAACGCGGCAATTCGAGTCTCGGTAACGTCCGGCACCGCGACGTTTGCCGCCTGCACAGCTCCGGCAAACTGCTCAATGCGAGGGCTCGGGAGAGCAGGAGGCGCATCCCACCCCCCCCTCGCACCCCTTCAAGGTGGTTTACGTGCCAAGCCGACTGGGCTACGCCTGCTTTTGCAGGCCGGGTGGGCGAGTGGCTCTCGTGGCTCACAGCGGGCAGCCGCCACTCGGGTCGGGGGTGTCGACATGACGGGACCAGCGTGAAGTCGCTGCAAGGGGCACCCCCCCCCCCCCGCGGGTGTTGAAGAAGGTGGCTATGGAACACAAATTTACTGCAATCTTCATTTTACTTCGACCTGAAGACGATGGCTTGTTGTTGCGTCGTGATCTGTTATTTTATTATTTTTTATTTTCTATCCACGTGACTTTAACGAAAGAACCAAAGAGTACAAATTCACTTTGGCCATTATTGTTATCATTGTTATCGCCTGCTTAGCCACCATGTGTCCCGGGGGGGGCCCCAAGGCAATGGTCAATGCGGTTTCTTCGAGCGCCATTTGTACTCCCGACTCCAACCGCGCCGGCATCCGCAACACGCGCTCTCTCCACCCCCCATCTCAATTGGGATGAATCTCCTCGATGGACCGCAAGGCAGGCACCACTGTGCGTTTGTGTACAATATCAAGAAACGTGGGATTCAGTCGAGGCGCCATTCACCGGTGCCGCCGCTGCTGTCGACGCGTGCTGCGTGAAGAGACTCGGTGCCGTGTGCCCGAGAGAACTGGCGTTGGCGCTTAAGCGTACGGTTGAAGAACCCCGGGGGGCCTAGCCTTCAGGGCGCAAGGTGCGCCGCGCGTTAGAGCGCCCCGTGCCTAAGTATAAATGCACCGCGTTAAGAATCCAAGCGTACTGCTCTAGACCCTTGGGTGCGCTGTTGTAACGAGTCTCGGCGCGTTAAGGCGCACCGCTCGCGAGAGTTGCGACGCCGCGCGGGGCAACCCTGGAGCTGCACCGGCGTCACGAACACCACCAAGAGGGCCTCACCCGCCAACTCCACGCCGACCCCGCCACAGCGCCACTCCTCCTCATCCCTCCCCCCCCACCCACCCACCCACCCCCCCCCCCTCCCTAATCACGCCGCAGGTTGTTGAGTCGCTCTTCGAGGTCGGCGTCGGCGTCGGCAACGGCGGCGGCGGCGGCCTCGGCCTTCTTGCCTGCGGCCACGCTGAGCGAGCCGCCCGTGGCCGGCAGAGCTGCGGCGGGGCGGGGCGGGGGCGACACGCGGAGAGAGAACAGCGACGGTCAAGCACGCGCAGAGAACACCGACACTCACACAAAGACAAAGATCCCCCGTGTAGCCTTAACAGACTGTAGGGGCAAGTGCCGTTAGCGAGCAGCACCATTGAAGGCCGGCACGGCACACGAGGGGGCGGGCGGCCAGCAACCACGCCCGGCCGCCTTCGTCTCCCCGGTGGCGATGTTTACGCACCGCACCGGGTACTCTTTTGAGGCCGAGTCGACCTAGGTGAGACCCGGCACCGGTTGAGATAATCGTCACCGGTGTTGGCCGTGAGCGGGAATCGAACCCGGGTCGCCGGGTTCGTAGCGCAGTAGCGTAGCGCTGACCGCTACACTACTGCACACACAGAGAGCACCACCAGTCACGCACGCACCTCTGGGACCACCAGTCACGCACCCACAGACAATGTGGTGTGGTCAGACTGATTGGCGCGCAGGTGCATGCGGGTCATTTACACACGGCCAACGCCGAGGGGTTGGCAGCCGATATAATGATTCGTAATTGATTTTTGGGCTACGTTGCATAATGGTCCGAGAAAAAAAATCTATTATGAATGTGTGTATGTGTGTGTGTGTATGAGTGTGTGTGTGTATGAATGTGTGTGTATGTGTGTATGTTGCCATCTCAGTCAGACAACCCATGGCACCTGGGTCTGTCCGGTGATCTCCTGCCAGCGGGCGTTCGACACTTCCCGTGGTCTCAACGTGCACATAGCCTGGCACAAGCGCCGTAGTGACGTCACCGCCACTTAGTGGCGAACGGCGGGTTGTTGTTGTTGTTGATCGCTTATGTTGTGCTGTGCATTATGTACATGTCGAACTAGGATCCACACCTAACAGAGAGGAGCCTTGCCTATAAATGTCTGGCAGCTCTCCAGCCTGTGCTGCTGTAAGTCAACACCAGTGATGAATAATGATCTGAACCGGTCCTGGGCCTCCACAAGGTTGAGTCGGCCTCAAGTGGGTACCTCCCCACCCACTCATCAAACCCCCCCCCCCAATCACCAATCCCCCCCACCCTCCCCCGGCCCATTCACCCACCCACCCACCCACCCACTCACCCCCACCTGTGTGTCGTGTTATTTCTACCACGCGCATTTACTGTTTGAATTCTCCCCATGGGCTCGCACATCTTTTGCACAACAGAGCACCGGGTTTGATCTGAAGAGATGCGGGCGGGGGGGGGGCCAGGGAGAGTGGCAAGGGGCGGGGTGGGCTGGGAGGGCGACTATACGGGTGATGTGTACGTCGTGGCAGTGGGCAAGCGCGGGGAGGGTTAATAATGTTCCAGGCAGAGGCCCTTTAACGGAGCAGCGAGCGAGCGAGCGAGAGAGAGTGTGAAAAAGGGAGGATGACGGGTCAAGCGTAAAACACCCGAGTTTTTTCTGTGGTTGAACATCAAACACGGTCCTTGCACACGGGCTCGGGGATTTCTGCGCGTGCCTAAACTGCCCGTGCGTGTGTGTTGAGAGAGAGAGAGAGGGTGCGAGAGTGTGCGCGTGCATATGTGCGTGTAGAACGTGTGTCGAGTGTGCGCGCTCTACCGCGAGTCTTCCGGCAGCGGTTAGCGCTACGCCGCGCTACAAACCCCGGCCACCAGAGTTCGATTCCCGCTCACGGCCAACACCAGTTAGTTATGATCATCTGAACCGGCCGTGGGCCTCCCCGAGATCGAATTGGCCTTAAAAATTAGTACCTGGTACCATGTGTAAACATTGCCACGGGGAAGACAAAGGCGACCGGGCATGGTGTGTCATAGGTGCTCGCGAACAGCACCTGCCCCAACAGTCTGTTAACGGCTATCAGGGGGATCTTAGTCTTTTTGAGTCTTACTGCCACGTGTGTGTGTGTGTGCGTGCGAGTCTTACTGCCGTGTGTGTGTGCGCGTGTGTGCGAGTCTTACTGTCATGTGTGTGTGTGTGAGTGTGCGAGTCTTACTGTCACGTGTGTGTGTGTGTGCGTGCGAGTCTTACTGCCGTGTGTGTGTGCGTGCGCGTGTGTGCGAGTCTTACTGCCGTGTGTGTGTGTGCGTGTGTGCGAGTCTTACTGCCGTGTGTGTGTGCGTGTGTGCGAGTCTTACTGCCGTGTGTGTGTGTGCGTGTGTGCGAGTCTTACTGCCGTGTGTGTGTGCGTGTGCGTGTGTGCGAGTCTTACTGCCGTGTGTGTGTGCGTGTGCGAGTTTTACTGCCGTGTGTGTGTGTGTGTGCGAGTCTTACTGCCGTGTGTGTGTGCGTGTGTGCGAGTCTTACTGCCGTGTGTGTGTGTGTGCGCGAGTCTTACTGCCGTGTGTGTGTGTGCGTGTGTGCGAGTCTTACTGCCGTGTGTGTGTGCGTGTGCGAGTTTTACTGCCGTGTGTGTGTGTGTGCGCGAGTCTTACTGCCGTGTGTGTGTGTGCGTGTGTGCGAGTCTTACTGCCGTGTGTGTGTGTGTGCGCGAGTCTTACTGCCGTGTGTGTGTGTGCGTGTGTGCGAGTCTTACTGCCGTGTGTGTGTGTGTGCGCGAGTCTTACTGCCGTGTGTGTGTGTGTGCGCGAGTCTTACTGCCGTGTGTGTGTGTGCGTGTGTGCGAGTCTTACTGCCGTGTGTGTGTGTGTGCGCGAGTCTTACTGCCGTGTGTGTGTGTGCGTGTGTGCGAGTCTTACTGCCGCGTGTGTGTGCGTGTGCGAGTTTTACTGCCGTGTGTGTGTGTGTGCGCGAGTCTTACTGCCGTGTGTGTGTGTGCGTGTGTGCGAGTCTTACTGCCGTGTGTGTGTGCGTGTGTGCGAGTCTTACTGCCGTGTGTGTGTGTGCGTGTGTGCGAGTCTTACTGCCGTGTGTGTGTGCGTGTGCGAGTTTTACTGCCGTGTGTGTGTGTGTGCGCGAGTCTTACTGCCGTGTGTGTGTGTGTGTGCGTGCGAGTCTTACTGCCGTGTGTGTGTGTGCGTGTGTGCGAGTCTTACTGCCGTGTGCGTGTGTGCGAGTCTTACTGCCGCGTGTGTGTGTGTGTGTGCGCGAGTCTTACTGCCGTGTGTGTGTGTGCGTGTGTGCGAGTCTTACTGCCGTGTGTGTGTGCGTGTGTGCGAGTCTTACTGCCGTGTGTGTGTGTGCGTGTGTGCGAGTCTTACTGCCGTGTGTGTGTGCGTGTGCGAGTTTTACTGCCGTGTGTGTGTGTGTGCGCGAGTCTTACTGCCGTGTGTGTGTGTGCGTGTGTGCGAGTCTTACTGCCGTGTGTGTGTGAGTGTGTGCGAGTCTTACTGCCGTGTGTGTGTGTGCGTGTGTGCGAGTCTTACTGCCGTGTGTGTGTGTGCGTGTGTGCGAGTCTTACTGCCGTGTGTGTGTGTGTGCGCGAGTCTTACTGCCGTGTGTGTGTGTGTGTGCGTGCGAGTCTTACTGCCGTGTGTGTGTGTGCGTGTGTGCGAGTCTTACTGCCGTGTGCGTGTGTGCGAGTCTTACTGCCGCGTGTGTGTGTGTGTGTGCGCGAGTCTTACTGCCGTGTGTGTGTGTGCGTGTGTGCGAGTCTTACTGCCGTGTGTGTGTGCGTGTGCGTGTGTGCGAGTCTTACTGCCGCGTGTGTGTGCGTGTGTGCGAGTCTTACTGCCGTGTGTGTGTGCGTGTGTGCGAGTCTTACTGCCGTGTGTGTGTGCGTGTGCGAGTTTTACTGCCGTGTGTGTGTGTGTGCGAGTCTTACTGCCGTGTGTGTGTGTGCGTGTGTGTGTGTGTGCGTGTGTGTGTGCGAGTTTTACTGCCGCGTGTGTGTGTGTGTGCGAGTCTTACTGCCGTGTGTGTGTGTGTGCGCGAGTCTTACTGCCGCGTGTGTGTGTGTGTGTGCGAGTCTTACTGCCGCGTGTGTGTGTGTGTGTGCGAGTCTTACTGCCGCGTGTGTGCGCCTCAACAATTCCACTGCATGTCTCTCACCGGTCTCATCGTCCACCCCCCCTCCCACTTTCCACCACTGCCCCCACCCCACCACTGCCCCCACCCCACCACTGCTCCCACCCCACCACTGCCCCCACCCCACCACTGTCCCCCACCAATGCCGCCGCCCCCCCCCCCCCTCCCCCACTTGTGTTTTTATTGCGCGCTGGCACGCGACGCGCTGGCATTTAAACCAACGCCACCGCTGCACTTCCGGCGATGTGTGAGAATGTGATGTACCATGTGCAGCACTGTAATAATAATAATACTAATGATGTCAAAGGCCGGGCGGCGTGGGGGGTTGTTTTTCCATACTTCATCAGTGCAGGTTGTTGAAGACGTGGGGGGGCAAGGCAAGGAGGGAAATCAGAGGAGAGGTGGACGGGGAGGTTTAAGGACCGGCTCGGATATCGCTCGCCACCGATGTTAGCCACGCCCGGGAATCGAATTCAGGTCCTTAGCGAAGCGCGCCATGCCGCTGCGCGACCGCTCACCGCCCCGATCCGAACACCACGTTTAGAAATCGGAAATCTCCGAGGAATCTCCCACAGAACCGCCACGCGCAGCGACTACGCCGAGCTACGTATCGGTAGCGCAGGGCGCTTTGGGCTGTGCGCCGGTGCGACCCGCACCACTGGCGGCGCACGCCGGCGATCCCGCGCCGTGGAGGCAGCGGCGAGGGTTGGTGGGGATCATCCTGCGGGCGTCCAGGAGCCGTGCCCTGGCTGGCCAGGAGAAGGCGGTACAGGCAGGTGCGGACTAAAACGCCACCCGTTCCACTTGCATGGGATAGAGTGTTGCCCCCCCTCGCACGCGTTGGGCATTCTATGGGCGATTCAGTTTCCTCCCACGTGTATTAACACTCATTAATTGACTGGAATCAGCTGAACATATACAGAGGGCTGTAGAGCTCAGGCAATTGTTGATAGCACCGTCCTGGCTGCTGCTACCTCCCCCCGCTACTCGTCTGCGCTTCCGAGTCGCGCTCTCTCTCCGTTCGACGGCAATGAACGAATACCAGTGAAGGGGGGGGGGGGCAATGGCAGTGGTACAGTGGCACAAGTTGAAATTACAAATAACAACAATAATAATAAGAGACCCGAAAGGCCAAAATCAGCTCGTACGCTGTAAACATGCGTCGAGGCTTCTGCGATATCGTCAACCCTTACACACGAGTCGTGGCCGCGTATACGAGCAGGCGCTTGTCTGTGTACGCACCGTGCCAAACCCCATCAAACGACGTAAATTGTCTCCGCCTCTCTGATCCAATTACTCGCCGTTCTTTCCGCGCCGCGCGGCTCTCCGCGGGAGGGATTGAGAACGAGCGGTCGCCGCGCGGCTCGAGGCCCGGCGGTCGTGCGCTCGCTGCAGAGGTTCGTATCTTACTGCGGTGTGTGTTACCACTCGGTGGCTGGGTGGGTGGCTGGGTGGATGAGCGGGTGGCTGGGCGGGTGGTTAAGTGGCTGGGTGGATGTCCGAGTGGGTGGCTGGGTGGATGAGCGGGTGGCTGGGCGGGTGGTTAAGTGGCTGGGTGGATGCCCGAGTGGGTGGCTGGGTGGATGAGCGGGTGGTTAAGTGGCTTGGTGGATGTTCGAGTGGGTGGCTGGGTGAGTCGCGAAATGAAAAAAACTCACTCGAGAGTTCGTCCGTGAGGCCGAGCCCCAGCTCGTCCAGCACCTGGCTCACAATGGCATCACTGCACGCACGCACACACGAAGCCATCGGTCAAACATCGCCCCCCACCCCACCACCACCTGTGTAGCATTTACCAGCCTGTTGGGGCAAGTGCTATTGTCAAGTAACACCTATGAAAGACGGCACGGCGTACCTATGATGGGGTGGCTGGCCAGCACTACGCCCGGCCACCTTTGCGTCCCCAGCGGCGATGTTTTTGTGACGCACCGCACCGGGTAATTATTTAAGGCTGAGTCGATCTAGCGGAGGCCCAGGATTGCTTCTAATATTCACCACTGTTATAGGTCGCGTGCAGGAATTGAATCCGGGTCTCCGGGTTCGTAGCGCAGTACGCTAACCACAACATTACACTGCTCCCCACAGTGCTGCACAGACACGCACACAGACACACACACACGCACACAGACACGCACACAGACACACACACACACAGACACACACACACACAGACACACACACACAGACACAACAACAGCCGTCGCCGCCATTCACCACGAGTGAGTGACGTCACCACGGCGATTGTGCTGGGCTAGGCGCAAGTTGAGACACACAAACACACGCACGCACACACATACATACACAAGCCACGCACAGAAATAAAGACGCAGATGCAAACAAGATGAGACACACACAGAGAAAAAAGCATGGAGAAAGACATATAATTGTAACCTTAAAAATCCACAATGCTTATGACGCACATGCATGAATCCACAATGCCACGAATTACTCCAGAAGACTTTGGTTAATCTATACTTCAGTCTTGATTTGAAGCTTTCGTGACTGCAGGAATCCATACTCTTTGGTTCTTTCGGTAAAGTCACATAGGTAGAAAAATAATAAAAACACAATATTTTTTTACTTTATTTTATTATTATTATAAGAACCAATGAGTAATCCAAACTTATCAATTGTAATCCGTCCAGTATTATTGAGCCCTTATTTATTTCCACTAGCCTATAGCCCGTCCAAGGACGGGTGTATTGCATTTAATCAGAAATATTCAATCGAAAATAATGACCCGCTCATGATAATTAATGAGGGGGTGGTGGCAGGGTCCACATGAGTGACGTCATCCACTTATTATTAATGAGGGGGGGGGGCGCCCCATGTGGAGTGACGTCACCCGCTAATGCTTATTAATGAGGGGGGGGGTGCCCCATGTGGAGTGACGTCACCCGCTAATGATTATTAATGAGGGGGGGTGCCCCATGTGGAGTGACGTCACCCGCTTACTATTATTAATTAGGGGGGTGCCCCATGTGGAGTGATGTCACCCGCTAATGATTATTGAGGGGGGGGGTCCATATGGAGGACCCCACCTGTTCATGATTATTAATGAGGGGGGCTGGTCGACGTGGATGAACGTCACGCACGTCACACACACTGACATTCTTGGCTCACGACATTAGTGATAATCCAGGTTGTTACCCTGTAGGACAATACGATCGCGACAGGCGACGGTGGCTTTGGCCACAAGGCCTTCATCCAAGCAGGGGACTGGCCACGGCCGATTGAAGGTGACGGCGAGGATCTGTCAGGCCGTGGCAAATGATAACCGCGGTGGGCGCTTCCCCAACGCGGCGCACGCAACTCCCCACCTCTCCTCCTCGTCGTCCTCATCGCCCATGGCGTCGTCGATGGCGTCGTTCATCATCTCCTCCTTCATGTCCATGATCTCCGACTGCTTCTCAAACTCCATCATGATCTTCTGGATCTGCGGCAGCTTGAGCTGGGTGCGACACGCGCGCCGGCGGAGCGGGGTTATATCGGTCACGAGCCGCGATGGGATCGCGAGGTGCAGATGCGAATACGGCAGAACCCGTTCTTAACGACCGCCCCCGTTAACGACGGGCCTCCATAGAGCCCAACGTGTAGTGTATAGTGTAGTGTATAGTAGTGTAGTGTATAGTAGTGTAGTGTATAGTGTAGTGTATAGTAGTGTATAGTGTAGTGTATAGTAGTGTAGTGCCTCCATAGAGCCCAATGTGTTCGCTTACAGACCATTCCCCTGTTAACGACGGGCTGTTGTAGCTAGAGTAAATATTAATTCATACATCGATGAACCCCGTTTCTTTTAATATGATATGTTTATAATGTTGTTAGTATCATATTCATTGTTTAAATATTATAAGTAACTTTTTTTGGTGAAGAAGGGTAACTTTTGATGCCATCGGAAACGAATTAAGCCTTTAACGTGCGCTTCCTACACTCGCTTAACGACCAGTTTCATGGAACCAATTACCATCGTTAAGAGGGATTCCACTGCAACAATTATAACCCAAGTGCAATAATGGCCCTCGATCCGTGTTGTTTATTTGTTTGTTTATTGAGTTTGTGAAGCAGGCTGGGCCAGGATGCCGCTCCACCACAATTCACCCAGGCGACCAGAGAGCACAGACTTAGATACGTCTCGACTCGTCGCTACAACAACAAATTATGACATATTTAAGAATGCACAATTTCAGACATAAATATAATAACCAAGATACAATTTTGAAGAATGGAAGTAAAAGAAGCGTCGATAGCATTTTAGGTTTAAAATCCTATCGACGATACTCATACTATTTTGATGCATTCCCGTTTGTGTAACATACAGCGAGGGAAAAAAGTATTTGATCCCCTGCTGATTTTGTACGTTTGTCCACTGACAAAGAAATTATCAGTCTATAATTTTAATGGTAGATTTATTTGAACAGTGAGAGACAGAATAACAAGAAAATCCAGAAAAACGCATGTCAAAAATTGTATAAATTGATTTGCATTTTAATGAGGGAATTAAGTATTTGACCCCCTCTCAATCAGAAAGATTTCTGGCTCCCAGGTGTCTTTTATACAGGTAACGAGCTGAGATTAGGAGCACACTCTTAAAGGGAGTGCTCCTAATCTCAGCTTGTTACCTGTATAAAAGACACCTGTCCACAGAAGCAATCAATCAGATTCCAAACTCTCCACCATGGCCAAGACCAAAGAGCTCTCCAAGGATGTCAGGGACAAGATTGTAGACCTACACAAGGCTGGAATGGGCTACAAGACCATTGCCAAGCAGCTTGGTGAGAAGGTGACAACAGTTGGTGCGATTATTTGCAAATGAAAGAAACACAAAATAACTGTCAATCTCCCTCGGCCTGGGGCTCCATGGAAGATCTCACCTCGTTGAGTTGCAATGATCATGAGAACGGTGAGGAATCAGCCTAGAACTACACGGGAAGATCTTGTCAATGATCTCAAGGCAGCTGGGACCATAGTCACCAAGAAAACAATTGGTAACATACTACGCCGTGAAGTACTGAAATCCTGCAGCGCCCGCAAGGTCCCCCTGCTCAAGAAAGCACATATACATGCCCGTCTGAAGTTTGCCAATGAACATCTGAATGATTCAGGACAACTGGGTAAAAGTGTTGTGGTCAGATGAGACCAAAATGGAGATCTTTGGCATCAACTCAACTCGCCGTGTTTGGAGGAGGAGGAATGCTGCCTATGACCCCAAGGACACCATCCCCACCGTCAAACATGGAGGTGGAAACAATATGCTTTGGGGATGTTTTTCTGCTAAGGGGACAGGACAACTTCACCGCATCAAAGGGACGATGGACGGGGCCATGTACCGTCAAATCTTGGGTGAGAACCTCCTTCCCTCAGCCAAGGCATTGAAAATGGGTCGTGGATGGGTATTCCAGCATGACAATGATGACCCAAAACACACAGCCAAGGCAACAAAGGAGTGGCTCAAGAAGAAGCACTTCAAGGTCCTGGAGTTGCCTAGCCAGTCTCCAGACCTTAATCCCATAGAAAATCTGTGGAGGGAGCTGAAGGTTCGAGTTGCCAAACGTCAGCCTCGAAACCTTAATGACTTGGGGAAGATCTGCAAAAAGGAGTGGGACAAAATCCCACCTGAGATGTGTGCAAACCTGGTGGCCAACTACAAGAAACGTCTGATCTCTGTGATTCCCAACCAGGGTTTTGCCACCAAGTACTAAGTCATGTTTTGCAGAGGGGTCAAATACTTATTTCCCTCATTAAAATGCAAATCAATTCATAACATTTTTGACATGCGTTTTTCTGGATTTTTTTTGTTGATATTGTCTCTCACTGTTCAAATAAACCTACCATTACAATTATAGACTGATCATTTCTTTGTCAGTGGGCAAATGTACAAAATCAGCAGGGGATCAAATACTTTTTTTCCCTCACTGTATCGCTGACCAAATTAATTTTCGGAAGTACATTTTCAGAGCCAACGAAACACCTGGAAAATCGTGGTGGTGTTGATGGTGGTCACCCATTAAATTACCAACCAGGCCCAAAACTTCCTGCTTAGCGTCCAGACAGCCAACGAGATCAGGCGAATTTCGCAGCGATTTGATCGCAGGCATAGAGTCCGCATTTCTTCTTTAACGCATTAATTTTTTTGCTTCATGGTTTGCTCTTTGTTTTTTTCGTGTTATTTTGGTGACCCCGGGTCACTCGCACAAAATCCTCGTCTCTGGAGTTGGTAAAACAAAAACAACTTGAAACTATAAACCCGCCGATTCGTTCATCGATTAAGCACGATTCTCACGCTCGAGAGACACCGCGCGTGCGAGGCAACGGGCCCCAGGGCACCTACTTGCTTGTTCATGGTGGCCATGGCCTTGGTGACGCCCTTCATGGCCTGGGCCATTGCGTTGTTGGACTTGAGCGTCTGGATCTTGAGGGACACGGCCTGGATGTTGGCTCGCATCATGATGAACTTCTTGACGTAGCGCCGCGTGCGGACCAGGTCCTTGGCCATGATCTTGACGGCGTCCTGGCAGGGGGGCGACGGGGTCAGGGCGATGGGGTCAGGGCGACGGGGTCAGGGCGATGAGGAATGCGACAAGGGAGATGGACATGGGGGACAGAGACGCACAGAGGGCGAAAGACACAGGCAGGAATAACGAGACACACAGAAACAGCGAGACAGATCCACACATGAAGAAAGTAAGACGCAGAGACCAAGGCACAAATAGAGAGACAGAGATGAGAGACAAATACAAAAAACAGAAAGATCCACACACGAAGGGCATAAGACACACAGAGACAGAGCTGAGACAAAAATAGAGACACAGAGAGATAGGAGCACATGGAGGTAGGCGCGTTCTATTCCCAAACTCAAAGTTGTCGACCCTTATCCTCCTCCTCCTCCTCCACCCTGCACATGTGTCCCACCCATCACAACCTCCCGCTATTCCCGACTACCCCTACAACGCTTTCCTCCCACGTCCTATTCCCAACCGCCACGTAGCTTACCCCCGGGGCCCACCAAACGATTTCCGTGCACCCTCACCATCTGGCCGGCTTTGGCCATCTTCTTGATGTCAGCGATGATCTTCTTCTCCTGCATCTCCAGCTTCTGTCGCTCGCGGTCCATGTCCCTCATGGCGCGCGTGAGGGCTCGCTGGTTCTGCCGCAGCATCTGCTCCGGGGTCTTTCTCTTTCCAAACAGGCGGTCCATGGCTGCGACTCTGCAAAAACAACGACGAGAAACACCACCCAGCACCCGCGGTTAGTCGACAGGCAGCTCACGCGTGGTGCGGTTAAGTGTGGGTTAAGTGTGGATACGCTACTCCCCCCCACTTCCGACTAAAATTCCACTGGAAATTATTTGCCGGTTCGTGACGTCGCGGAACCGGTAATCTGTTTCCCAACCGGTTTCCTCGGTCACACATGCCGAGCAGGTTTTCCCTGCCTGTGACGTAGAGTGCTCCGATGTGTCTTTGGGGTTTAAACAACAAAACAAAAATAAATGAGCGGGGATGGAAAGGCGGGCTGGGATGAGGAGTCAAGCCTCTTCATAGTGCTGCTCCCCCCCCCCATCGCCTCTCCACACACATCCTGCCCCGCCAGCAAAAGAAGAGTAGTCCACTCTTAAAGACAAGGCCGCTCCATCGTAACGTCCAAAGTCGACAGATGAACTCGGATCAAAGCCCACAGGGAAGAATTTAAGCTAGCGCGCGTGCACGCCGCAGATAAAAGTGAGGTTGGCCCGCTGTTTAACCAAGCGAGAACTCCAAGAGAGCGTCAAGACGCGTGTTCAGCGCGCTGCCCTCGCACGAAAAACACTGAGGTCGTACGGACGACCTCCTCCGTGCTCAGGAGGGCCACTGGCAACAACAACAACAACAACAAAAAACCATCGCCAGCTTTGTGGACCGTTCCCCTCTGAGCACCGGCGTCAGTGTCGCGCGCGTCCGTGCACTGCGGCCACCGCAAGATCACAAGCCACGTGAACTTGACGACGCATTCCAAAAACAATTTCACCGCCCCCCCCCCCTCCCACCCCGTCACTGAAAGAATAAAACCGAATGCGGAATGGGAGAGCGCCACAACGATCACGCAGGGCAAACCGCGTGACGGGGGAAGAGAGATTCACACACACACACGAAGCAACAGCGTCGACCGCAAAGCAAGCCCTCTTGTTCACGTAAGCTGGGGACTCGGGACTCGCCCGAACCGCTTTTGAAAACGTTCAATGCGCTAAACGTCAACGGACTCCGCATTCCACGACGCAGACCTGGGCGGGGAGACCGTGGCTCAAGCCGCGCACGGAACACTTCTCAGGTGCTCGAATAGTCGCCCGGACACAGGGGAAAGCCTGTCGCACAGATCGGGGCGGACAAAAAAAAGTCGGCAGGGCTGTCGGAACGACGCGAACTGCATCGGCACGTGACGCTAAATGTCGTTCTTTTGGCGTGGCCGCTGGTGCGTTGTTGTCAGCGCCACTGCCCTGCCGGTCAGTCAGCCAGGGGGGGGGGGGGGGGGGTCACGTCACCCCGCTGCGCCGCCGATTGGGGAAATACGTCCGGTGGGTGACGTTGGCCGTAACGTTGTGACGACGTTGGGGGGGGGGGTGCTCGCTCGCCATATGGCGCAAGAGCTTTTTATTGAGTCATTCTTTTGCAATGATGACTCCACCCGGGCTATTTAGAGAAGCGGTGGGGTTGCTAAATATTTAATTAAATACATCTCCGAAGGGGTTTTTTTGGGAGTCGTACAGCGCGGATGTTGTTGAGCAACAAAGACGACAACAGCGTGGAAGAGGAGGCCAAATACCCTCATACCTGTCAACCCCTTATCAGTGCCCTACCTTATTAGATCAATTCAGACCTTATTGGTCACCCCGTGCACTTATACATCTCAGCGTTCATCCTACAAAGTCCCATCGCAAGTAGACAAACACAAATAGACACAATATTATTTATTTGCCCGTATTGAAACGGCTTTACGCCGCATGGACCTGAAATACCACATTTCCCTGTACGAGAATACACGTGGTAAACCGTATGGGTTGACAGGTACGCACTGCCGCAGTGTCTCTGTAGCAGTGTCTCACTACCAGTGTCTCACTACCCAGTGTCTCACTACCCAGTGTCTCTGTAGCAGTGTCTCAAAAACCAGTGTCTCACTACCCAGTGTCTCAATAACCAGTGTCTCACTACCCAGTGTCTCACTACCCAGTGTCTCTGTAGCAGTGTCTCTGTAGCAGTGTCTCAATACCCAGTGTCTCTGTAGCAGTGTCTCACTACCCAGTGTCTCACTACCCAGTGTCTCTGTAGCAGTCTCAATACCCAGTGTCTCTGTAGCAGTGTCTCTGTAGCAGTGTCTCAATACCCAGTGTCTCTGTAGCAGTGTCTCACTACCCAGTGTCTCTGTAGCAGTGTCTCTGTAGCAGTGTCTCAATACCCAGTGTCTCTGTAGCAGTGTCTCACTACCCAGTGTCTCAATACCCAGTGTCTCTGTACCAGTGTCTCACTACCCAGTGTCTCTGTAGCAGTGTCTCACTACCCAGTGTCTCACTACCCAGTGTCTCTGTAGCAGTGTCTCACTACCCAGTGTCTCTGTAGCAGTGTCTCACTACCCAGTGTCTCACTACCCAGTGTCTCACTACCCAGTGTCTCACTAGCAGTGTCTCACTACCCAGTGTCTCACTACCCAGTGTCTCACTACCCAGTGTCTCACTACCCAGTGTCTCTGTATCTCACCGCCAGTGTTTCACTACCCAGTGTCTCTGTAACAGTGTCTCACTACCCACTGTCTCTGTACCGGTGTTTCACTACCATACCCTTATCAGTGCCCCCTACCTTATTACAGACCAACTCAGACCTTATTGATCACCCCGTGCCCCTTATGAATCTCAACGTTCATCCGACAAAGTCCCATCACAAGTAGAGAAACACAAATAGACAATTGTGGTTCTTGTTGTTGCTGTTGCCCGCATTGAAGCGGCTCTACGTCGTATGGGCCCGCAAACTCAACGTCCCTGTACAAGGACACGGGCGTCGTCAACTGTAAGGGTTCATCAGCCGTGAACCCCACAGGGCCCGGTGCGCCAACCGCTGCGCCACCGCTCCCCCACACTTCCCAAGTCGCCACCAAGTGGCGGTGACGTCACAAAGGCCCTCGTGCCACGCTAGGTGCACGCGCGCACCAGCACCATCACCCCCCCCGTAACAGTTACCATGGTGATACAGCACGAGCGAGGGTTTCTTACGGGCGGTGGCGATCGACCACACACACAACAACAACAACAGCCGCCATTCGCCACTAAGTGGCGGTGACGTCGCCACGCAGCCTGTGTGCCAGGCTAGGTGCACTTGCGACGCCAAATAAACGTGGACCAACCGGCCCCCCCCCCCTAGTGGGGGGCCTTACGTAGGGGTCCGTACGGGGCAGGGGGGGGGGGGTCGAGCGAGCGCTGCTGTCGGCCAACGATTCATTGAGACCCGCGCCACTCCCGCGGGGGGGGGGGTGCAGGCGTCGTCCCGCCGCCCATCGCAAACACCTCGGCGCCGCCGACGAAGACGACGATGACGACCCCCCTTCAAGACGGGCTGCGTCCATCGAAGCGGGGTGGGAGCGAGAGGCGCGAATACGCACCTCAAAAGCTGTCGGTCGCCTCGCGATAACTTCCACAGCAGCAGCGAGGTACGTGGGACGGTGAGGAAATGCGACAGCGGTGACGCGGCCAGGAGCGCGATGAGAGCGTGGTTTGGGGTGGGGGGAGATGCGCGTCAAAGGCCTCCACCAGAGCCTCTGCGTCGCCTGCTGCTGCTGCTTCTTCTTCTTCTTCCGGGTTTACGTCGCGAGGGGCGTGGCGCGGAGCGACGTCACCGAGGCGCGTCACGAGGCACGGCCGCGTGACCGACGCGGGGGGGGGGGGTGTGGGGTAGGGGGGGTGAGGGGTTGGCGCGGGGGGGTTGCGTGGGGAGGAGGGGGTGGGGGGTGGAGGGGGTGTGGGGGGGGTGGGCTGGGGGGGGGGCATGGGGCATGGGGGTGGGGGCTGCGGGGGGAGGAGGGGGTAGTGGGGGGTGTGGGGGGGCATGGGGGGTGGGGGCTGCGGGGGGAGGAGGGGGTATGGGGGGGGCTGTGGGGGGAGGAGGGAGTATGGGGGGGGGGTATGGGGGGGGTATGGGGGGTGGGGGCTGCGGGGGTGGAGGGGGTGGGTTAAAGAGGCCTCTCGTGTAGCCAGCATTGCCTCGTTAATTAAACAGGTCCCTGCAGGGTGGGCTGGTAGGAACATTGGAATTTTTCAAGTCTCTGCGCTGTCTATTGCTGATTTTACACCCAACAGCACGAGATTTCACTTCGTTAAAGTATTGAAAGGGGACGGACGGACGGACACATTAACAGGTCCCTGCAGGGTGGGCTGGTAGGACAAGTACTCTGCGCTGTCTATTGCTGATTTTACACCCAACAGCACGAGATTTCACTTCGTTAAAGTATTGAAAGGGGACGGACGGATGGACACATTAATCTATTGCAGGCTGGTACACTCAGTTTACAACTTCCTTCCTACCAGTACAAGACGTTTGTCAATAGCAAGGCTGTAGATGTGTACACATAAAATACATAAAACGTCTCTCTGCGAAAGGGCAATCCGCTCGAAGCGGCACCTGTCGTCACACCATGCAGTAGCATTGTTATACTGGTATGATCGAAGTTGTAAACTGAGTGTACCAGCCTGCAATAGATTAATGTGTCCGTCCGTCCGTCCCCTTTCAATACTTTAACGAAGTGAAATCTCGTGCTGTTGGGGTGTAAAAGCAGCAATAGACAGCGCAGAGACTTGTCCTACCAGCCCACCCTGCAGGGATCTGTTTATTAAAGAAAAAGTTTTGCTGGCTGGAAGCCATGCGCCGCCCAGCGTGCAGAGAGGGTGAGGGGGCGGTGGGGGTGGCGGGGCATGTTGAGAGGGGGGGGGAGGGGGCCCCCCATAGCCCAGAGGAGGGGGGCCCGTGTCATCTGTGAGAAAGAGCTTGATAGCTCATCGGATTCCTCCCGTATAAATAATCATTCTGATGAACGAATCTGATTCTGACTGTGGGATATGCGTTCGGCCGGAGGAGGGGGGGTGGGTCACGTTTGGGGGGGGGGGGGGGGGTGGCACCCAGAGGTGTGAATGTAGATGAACGTCGTGAGTGCGACTCCACATCGCACTCGAGCACGAACAAGTTTGGCTGGCTGGAGGCACGTTCGGACGGACGCGTCCAAAGCACGTGCAATTACAATGAAGGTTACGTAAAAACCGAACAAGGTATCGGGTGTGGCTGTTTGGGGTCAAGGCGGGGTTGACCCTGCTCAGGCTGCGCCGTCTCAAATATTGGAGGAAGCAGCATAGTTCCATAGTTTCATTTATTTGGTATAGAGCCCTGTGAGCCATTCGGCTCTTGAATCGGGTGCAACCGCAACAAACAAAAACATTAACAAGAAAACCATCTTAACCCCCTGTGAGCGGCTGGCTGACGTGGCGCCTGCTGAGGAACGAGACGAGAAAATGTGCCGGTGCAGAGATGACCGCCCAAGCTGCTTTGGGGAGGGTGGCGATTGCGTGCGGGCTGCCTTTACATCTTTAGACGACATCGTCGCAACTCGCTGGACCACGTACAGCGATGGCTTCCGCAGGACTGGAGGCATGCCCTGGTGGTCCCCCTTCTTTATGAGGAGTACCGCACTGATTTCTATTTCAGTTACAGAGACCCCTCTAATTGGGAACTTTCAGAGATACGAACAAACCTGTCCGTATGTCCAGTCGCCTGTTCGGACCCGAGAGTCGTGAGTTCAACCGCCGCGCAAATAGATGGCGGTGGTGGCATCTACATCTGCAGAACGTGAAGAGCCAGTGGCATCTACATCTGCAGAACGTGAAGAACCAGTGGCATCTACATCTGCAGAACGTGAAGAACCAGTGGCATCTACATCTGCAGAACGTGAAGAACCAGTGGCATCTACATCTGCAGAACGTGAAGAACCAGTGGCATCTACATCTGCAGAACGTGAAGAACCAGTGGCATCTACATCAGCAGAACGTGAAAAACCAGTGACATCTACATCAGCAGAACGTGAAGAACCAGTGGCATCTACATCTGCAGAACATGAAGAACCAGTGGCATCTAGATCTACAAGAGATGATACAACTCTTAATGCAATTCCCCGTGTTTAGTGTACACTCCGTACACCATGTTTGTAATCGACAGGAGTAAAGTTCGACTTACGAACACATCGACATACGAACAGACCTTTGGAACCGAACTCGTTCGTAAGTAGAGCCGTCCCTGTATAGGGCCATCTCGACAACGAGTCAGTGTGGCAAAAAATTAATTTCTGGAAAAATGTATTCAACATCGCCTTGCCAGGCACGCCGAATGTGATTGTGTGTGGACCGGTGGTTACTATAAAAAAAAAACTGCGTTACGAACCCGCCCTGCCGAGTTCGATTCTGAACCCGGCAAGCCGAGTTCCATTCTGGATCACGGCCAACACCAATTACGATTATCTAAATCGGTACTGGGCCTCCCCTAGGTCCACTCAGCCGCAAATGAGTACCTCGTGCGATGTGTAAACATCGCCACGAGGGCGTGGTGCTGGCCACCCACCCCCTCGTGTGCCGTTCTGGCCTTCATATGAGCTCGCGAACAGCACCTGGCCCAACAGTCTGTGAAGGCTGTAAGGGAGATCTTTGTCTTTTTTGGAGCGGTGGTGCAGTGGTTAGCACACTGTGTAATGCACCATGGCGTTGTGGGATGTAATTAGCATGAATGACGCTATCTACAATGACATTATTATTATATGGCAGCAGAGGAGAAGGATCAACTTCTCACTGCGATGTATTAAACAATACACTGCAATTACGTGACCCGTACGAATCAACGCACCTCCGATTAGCACGGTTTGGCTACGTACGGTGCGAAAGAAAATGCAACATACAACGTAGGAGGATTTTTTTTCCCCCCCCTTTAATCTTACATCTGGCTTTTTGTGCACCGGGCATATAAGGTACTCATAAATGATTAACGAGTAATTTCAGTAATTTATTAAACCTATCATTCCCAATACAGTGGGTTCATTGCAGGTTGCCGTGACTTCTGCCGGGCTAGATTCCAGTTATGGTTTTCTCTATTAATAACATCACACACGACGTTAATTCATTACTTTGGCCTCATACACCCCATGATTTATGGCCAATGCGGTTAAGGGTTTGAGGGCCGCAATAATGGACGGGATTTGTATTGGATGTGATGCGCGTGCGTGTGGCGTGCGTGTTTACTCCAGGAAATTCGAGAAGCAGTGGCGCGGTGGTTACCACACTGCCCTTCGAACCCGGCCACCCGAGTTCTGTCAACATCCGTGACGGAACATCTCAACCTGTCCTTGGCCTCCTCTGGATCGACTGAGCTGTTCGCGGAGCGCCGAACTGCTGCGGTGTGTAAACAGCAGCGTTAGGGAGACAAAGGCGGCCGGGCGTGGTGTTGGCCTACCCACCCCCTTGAGTCTGTGAAATACTGTTCAGCAGATCTTTGTCTTTGCAGCTGGAAATATCTTTAGACTACAAGAGATAACGATGAGCGGTGGTGCAGTGAAGAATCCACGTGACCACGGGGAGAGAGACACGCAAACTCCAAATATGCAGGAAGTCAGGGGCGGGATCGAACCTACGACCTCTTGCATACCAGGCGAGGGAGTTAACATCTCGCCTCCGCGACGTACTCTCATCGCGTCCCAGCAGCAGACCTCGACATTGGCATTTAGCTCATAAACATATTTGCCAACGCAGAAGTATCGCCAATATAACGCGTCTCTGGCATTATTCAAAGCGAGGTTGCCTCCACGTATTGGACTGTCTTGGGCTGGTTGATTTCGATCGATCAGTTGATTGGTTCGATTTTCCGCCGCTTTTAAGTGTCACCATGTTGCCAAGTGGAACCGTAAAATACCCCCAAGTACTCCCACGGACAGCGTCAATGGGTGCTCCCTGAGTTACAGTGGCACGAACGTCATCTTTCATCTCACTCGTGGTGTCTCGGGGCGGCGGCGGGGGGACAGGCTCCGTTACTTTCCTGATGGCGATCGGGGCAAGGAGAGGTATTCATAAAGGTATTAAATACGCTCAGGCCACGAAAGTTATTCTTAATACGCTTGCTTACCCCCCTGCATGCGAGAAACATCACGGAGTCTCCGGACCCCATTCATCAGGAGGGTCCTGCAAGTTTTTTCATTTTTCTCACAGCGGAGGGCAAGGTTGCTATTCGTCATCCCAATTGAGGAATTTACAGCTATTACTCTCTGGTTCTTTCGGTAAAGTCACGTAGATAAAAAAATATAAGAAAATCAACTACGACGTTTCGGTCGCAACACAAGCGTCCGTCTTCAGGTGAGAAAAAGACGGAGGCTTGTGTTGCGACCAAAACGTCTTTGTTTTATTTTCTTATTTTTTTCTTCTATCTACGTGACTTTACTGAAAGAATCAGAGAGTATGGATTCCTGCAGTCACGAAAGTTTCAAATCATGATTAATTTACAGCTATTTGTTTATTTTTTTCCCCCAGCATTTGAATGTTTGGCAAACACACCGGTGACATTGTGTGGTGTTGTTTTAGCGATTTGAGGACACCGGTAAACCCAGAGGAAACCCACGTTGCAGAACAGGGGGAGAGAATACAAACAGGGGGAGAGAATACAAACAGGGGGAGAGAGTACAAACAGGGGGAGAGAGTACAAACAGGGGGAGAGAGTACAAACAGGGGGAGAGAGAATACAAACAGGGGGAGAGAGTACAAACAGGGCGAGAGAGTACAAACAGGGGGAGAGAGTACAAACAGGGGGAGAGAGTACAAACAGGGAGAGAGTACAAACAGGGGGAGAGAGTACAAACAGGGGGAGATAATACAAACAGGGGAGAGAGTACAAACAGGGGGAGAGAGTACAAACAGGGAGAGAGAGTACAAACAGGGGGAGAGAGTACAAACAGGGGGAGAGAGTACAAACAGGGGAGAGAGTACAAACAGGGGAGAGAGTACTAACAGGGCGAGAGAGTACAAACAGGGGAGAGAGTACTAACAGGGCGAGAGAGTACAAACAGGGGAGAGAGTACAAACAGGGGGAGAGAGTACAAACAGGGGAGAGAGTACAAACAGGGGAGAGAGTACAAACAGGGGGAGAGAGAATACAAACAGGGGGAGAGAGTACAAACAGGGGGAGAGAGTACAAACAGGGGAGAGAGTACAAACAGGAGGAGAGAGTACAAACAGGGGGAGAGAATACAAACAGGGGGAGAGAATACAAACAGGGGGAGAGACTACAAACAGGGGGAGAGAGTACAAACAGGGGGAGAGAATACAAACAGGGGGAGAGAGAGTACAAACAGGGGGAGAGAGAGTACAAACAGGGGGAGAGAGTACAAACAGGGGAGAGACTACAAACAGGGGGGGAGTACAAACGGGGAGAGAATACAAACAGGGGGAGAGAGTACAAACAGGGGAGAGAGTACAAACAGGGGAGAGAGTATACAAACAGGGGGAGAGAGTACAAACAGGGAGAGAGTACAAACAGGGGAGAGAGAGTACAAACAGGGGGAGAGAGTACAAACAGGGGGAGAGAGTACAAACAGGGGGAGAGAGAGTACAAACAGGGGGAGAGAGTACAAACAGGGAGAGAGAGTACAAACAGGGGGAGAGAGTACAAACAGGGGGAGAGAGTACAAACAGGGAGAGAGTACAAACAGGGGGAGAGAGTACAAACAGGGGAGAGAGTACAAACAGGGAGAGAGAGAGTACAAACAGGGGGAGAGAGTACAAACAGGGGAGAGAGTACAAACAGGGAGAGAGAGTACAAACAGGGGAGAGACTACAAACAGGGGGAGAGAATACAAACAGGGGAGAGAGTACAAACAGGGGAGAGACTACAAACAGGGGGAGAGAATACAAACAGGGAGAGAGTACAAACAGGGGAGAGAGAGTACAAACAGGGGAGAGAGTACAAACAGGGGAGAGAGTACAAACAGGGGAGAGACTACAAACAGGGGAGAGAGTATACAAACAGGGGGAGAGAGTACAAACAGGGGAGAGAGTACAAACAGGGGAGAGAGTACTAACAGGGCGAGAGAGTACAAACAGGGGAGAGAGTACAAACAGGGGAGAGAGAGTACACACAGGGAGAGAGTACAAACAGGGGGAGAGAGTACAAACAGGGGGAGAGATGATACAAACAGGGAGAGAGAGTACAAGCAGGGGGAGAGAGAGTACAAACAGGGGGAGAGAGTACAAACAGGGCGAGAGTACAAACAGGGGAGAGAGTACAAACAGGGAGAGAGAGTACAAACAGGGGGAGAGAATACAAACAGGGGAGAGAGTACAAACAGGGGGAGAGAGTACAAACAGGGGGAGAGAGTACAAACAGGGGGAGAGAGTACAAACAGGGGAGAGAGAATACAAACAGGGGAGAGAGAGTACAAACAGGGGGAGAGAGAGTACAAACAGGGGAGAGAGAGTACAAACAGGGGGAGAGAGAATACAAACTGGGGGAGAGAGTACAAACAGGGGGAGAGAGAGTACAAACAGGGGGAGAGAGTACAAACAGGGGGAGAGAGAATACAAACTGGGGGAGAGAGTACAAACAGGGGGAGAGAGTACAAACAGGGGAGAGACTACAAACAGGGGGAGAGAATACAAACAGGGGAGAGAGTACAAGCAGGGGAGAGACTACAAACAGGGGGAGAGAGTACAAACAGAGGGAGAGAGTACAAACAGAGGGAGAGAGTACAAACAGGGGAGAGAGTACAAACAGGGGAGAGAGTACAAACAGGGGGAGAGTACAAACAGGGGGAGAGAGAGTACAAACAGGGGGAGAGTACAAACAGGGGGAGAGAATACAAACAGGGGGGGAGAGTACAAACAGGGGAGAGAGTACAAACAGGGGGAGAGAGCACAAACAGGGGGAGAGAATACAAACAGGTGGAGAGTACAAACAGGGGAGAGAGTACAAACAGGGGGAGAGAGTACAAACAGGGGGAGAGAGTACAAACAGGGGAGAGAGTACAAACAGGGGGAGAGAGTACAAACAGGGGGAGAGAATACAAACAGGTGGAGAGTACAAACAGGGGAGAGAGTACAAACAGGGAGAGAGTACAAACAGGGGGAGAGTACAAACAGGGGGAGAGAGTACAAACAGGGGGAGAGAATACAAACAGGGGGAGAGATAATACAAACAGGGAGAGAGAGAGTACAAACAGGGGGAGAGAGTACAAACAGGGGAGAGAGTACAAACAGGGGGAGAGAGTACAAACAGGGGGAGAGAGTACAAACAGGGGAGAGAGTACAAACAGGGGGAGAGAGTACAAGCAGGGGAGAGAGTACAAACAGGGGGAGAGAGTACAAACAGGGGGAGAGAGAGTACAAACAGGGAGAGAGAGTACAAACAGGGGGAGAGAGAATACAAACAGGGGGAGAGAGTACAAACAGGGGAGAGAGTACAAACAGGGGGAGAGAGAGTACAAACAGGGGGAGAGAATACAAACAGAGGGAGAGAGTACAAACAGGGGAGAGAGTACAAACAGGGGGAGAGAGTACAAACAGGGGGAGAGAGTACAAGCAGGGGAGAGAGTACAAACAGGGGGAGAGAGTACAAACAGGGGAGAGAGTACAAACAGGGGGAGAGAGTACAAACAGGGGGAGAGAGTACAAGCAGGGGAGAGAGTACAAACAGGAGGAGAGCGTACAAACAGGGGGAGAGAGAAGGGGAGAGAGTACAAACAGGAGGAGAGAGTACAAACAGGGGGAGAGAGAATACAAACAGGGGGAGAGAGTACAAACAGGGGAGAGAGTACAAACAGGGGGAGAGAGAGTACAAACAGGGAGAGAGAATACAAACAGGGGAGAGAGTACAAACAGGGCGAGAGAGTACAAACAGGGGGAGAGTACAAACAGGGGGAGAGAGTACAAACAGGGGGAGAGTACAAACAGGGAGAGACTACAAACAGGGGGAGAGAATACAAACAGGGGGAGAGAATACAAACAGGGAGAGAGAGTACAAACAGGGGAGAGTACAAACAGGGAGAGAATACAAACAGGGAGAGAATACAAACAGGGGGAGAGAGTACAAACAGGGGGAGAGAGTACAAACAGGGAGAGAGTACAAACAGGGAGAGAGTACAAACAGGGAGAGAGTACAAACAGGGAGAGAGAGTACAAACAGGGGGAGAGAATACAAACAGGGGGAGAGAGAATACAAACAGGGGGAGAGAGTACAAACAGGGAGAGAGAGTACAAACAGGGGGAGAGTACAAACAGGGGGAGAGAGTACAAACAGGGAGAGAGTACAAACAGGGAGAGAGAGTACAAACATGGGGAGAGAATACAAACAGGGGGAGAGAGAAGACAAACAGGGAGAGAGAATACAAACCGGGGGAGAGAGTACAAACAGGGGGAG